TAGATTGGACTCCCAGTGATTCACCTGTTTTCAGCTTCTCAAGTGCTGGGATTATAGGCGCGCACCACCACACCCAGTCTCATTTGGCATCTCAGTGTGCCCCAGGGGTGGGGCTGGCAAGGCTTGCCAGGTATCAAACACTGGTCCCTGCACTCTGCCTAAGTAAGCACTTTAGTCCGCTGAGCTATCTGGCTGGCCTCATTGTGTTAACTTGGGAAGTTTAGAAGTTTAACTGACTCAGGGAGCCAAGATTCTCTTTGGAAATGTTCTCATACTGTGCAAGAGGAGGGTACGGAGAATGCGGTGAGTGCTACACCTGTCCTGGGGGGTGGGATGGCCTGCTTACAATGTAAGGGAGGAAAAAAGGCTTGTTCTGCCCTGCATTTATTTTTTAATTTTTAATTTTTATTTTTAGGGGTGTTCAGGGTCTTACTACTAGATCAGACTCGTAGTGATCCACCTGTTTACAGCCTCCCAAGAGCTGGTATTACAGTCGTGTGCCACCACACCCAGTCTCAACTGCAGTCTCAGCACAGGTGAGGCCAGCTTGGCAGGCCTGGGGATCAAAGCTCTGGCCCTGAGCCTGCTTGCAGGTGCTTTAATCCGCTCAGCTATTTGGCCAGTCCTCCGCCCTGCCTTTTGTTCTTGCTGATTGTGCTATCTTCTCCCACCTCAAACTGCTCTCCCTGTGCCATCCCACCCTGTCTTGGAGCCAGCTGATTATGGAGTAAAACCTCCACAAACTGTGAGCTAAAAATCAATCTTTCCTTCCTTAAGTTTGGGTGTCAGGTATCTTGTCTCAGCAAAGAGACAAAAGTAACCAAGAAAGAAGGTGTTTTACTTGTCTTTGTTGCACCCAGAAGTTAAAGAAGAAAATGTTCATTGTATCAGTTGCAGCCCATAATTGGCTGGCTCCAAGGCAAGGTGGCTTGGCAGAGAATAAACGGTCCACCACAGGGCAGCAGTCCTACCTTCTTTCTGTCCCTTTGTATTCCATCAAGCTACAAACTGACTGATTGGTGCCACCCAGTCAGGATAGGGCTTCCCCCATCCTTCAGCCACCCTAGAACTATACTAATCCATGTAGGGGACTAATCCAGGTGTCACACCCTTCATTGGTGCTCATGCAATCTAGACTCACCTGTGAAAAGCCCCACCTGGGGGCACATTAGGTATTTTTTGGGAGGATGGCAAACATCTAAATAGGAGCCATTGCAGCAGGGGGAGTGGTCAACATACTAAATGCTAAAAAAAGACCAAATGGAATTCTGAGAACTTCTCTGAATTTGGGAAAAAGAAGGCCATTAGGGGCTGGGCATGGTGATACATGCCTGTATTCCCAAAATTGGGAAGCAGGAGCAAGAAAATCACTGGAGGTTCAAGGCCAGCCTGGGTCACAAAGTGAGTTCAAGGCTAGCCTGAACTGCATAATGAAACTGTCATGTGCATACACACACACACACACACCCGCACATACACAAAAAAGAAGGGCATTAGTGAGCAGTAGTAGTTTCTTAGGATAGTAGGTCAGGTATGTGTAGGTAATTTTTTTTTTCTTTCTTTCTTTCTTTCTTTCTTTTTTTTTTTTTTTTTTTTTTTTTTTTTCAGTACCAGGAATCAAACTCAGGACCTTGACTTGCCAAGCAGGCACTTAAGCTGGCTGAGCTATCTCCCCAGCCTTTTTTTTTTTTTTTTTTTTTTTAGCAGAATCTATTTATTGAGGGTAAGAAAGCTTCTGAGAGAAGGACAGAAGGGGACCCTTGTGGATTGCCAAGGTAAATGTTTTAACAAACACCTCTCCCCCTAAAAGAAGGAAATAATTCTACTTTTATAAAAAGTATAATGGTACAGAATTTATCATTTTTTTGGTACTGGGAGTTGAACTCAGGACCTTGTGCTTTCCGGGCAGGCACTGTGCCACGGATATTGCTGACCCCAGAATTTATGATTAATAAAATGTACAATTTTTTTTTCAGTAGTGGTAGACTGAACCCAATGGTGCTCTACCATTGAGCTACATCTCCAGCCCTTATTGACTGACTGTTGAGACAGGGGCTCCCTAAATTGCCCATTCAGAATTCAAATTGGTGATCCTCCCTCCTCAACCTCCGTAAGTGCTGGAATTCTGGATGTGCGCCACACCCCTAGCTCAGTGTGCCACGCTCTTTACTGTACATCCCATCCTGGTGTCTGATTTCACAAATGGAGCTGTATCTTGTGTACAAGTGTAGTTCTAACAGAGATAATGGCTATTTTTTACTTACAGGCATAAGACAAAAAAGAAACTATGAAGGTATATGTTGAAACTTCACTGGTTCCTCAGTGACTTCTTTGTTAAATCTTGAATCTGATTAATAGTTTTCAAATCCTGGGAAAATTACTTGGATTGTGTCATTCACAATGTAACAGTTAACAGACAACCGCACTTTCCCCCCAGAACTGGGGATTGAGCCCAATGCCTTCTCACTGAGCTACATTCCCAGCCTATTTGACTTTTTAAAAATTTCACTATTCTTTTGAAACCGTCTTGGTAAGTTGCCCAAACTTGTGAAGACTGTGCTTCAGTCTTCTCCAGGCAAGTCAGGGCTACATAGTGAGACTCTGCTTAAAAAAAAAAAAAAAAAAAAAAAAAAAAAAAAAAAAAAAAAAATGGTTTTGGGGATTGAACTCAGGGCCTCAGATATACCATACTACATATATACTCTACCATTGAGCTGTACTTCCAGCTTAAATATAAAACTTTATTCTTTTTTTAGGGAAGGGTCTACAGGGTGTTCAGGATCTCACTACTAGATCAGACTCAGTGATTCGCCTGTTTACAGCCTCCTAAAAGCTGGGAATACAGGCGTACACCACCATGCCGTCTCAATTGCTGTCTCAGCATGCCCTGGGGGGTGGGGCCAGCATAGCAGACCAGGCCCCCGGCCCCACTTGCAGGCGATTTATTTAATTTTTTTGGTGGAACTGGGGATTGAACTCAAGCTCTTGTGCTTGCCAGGGAAGCACTTATTCCACTGAGCCAGCCTCCTGGCCTCTTGCAGGGGCTTTAATTTGCTCAGCTATTTGACCAGCCCAAATATAAAACTTGATTGTAAATTTACATCATTCAATTTTTTGAAAGTTTCACTAAATTACCCACATTAACCTTGAATTTGTGATCGTCCTCCTTCAGTTTCCCCAGTAGCTGGAATTATAGGTGTGACAAACTATTTATTGTGCAGTACTGGGAATTGAACCCAGGGCCTTCACACTAAGCTACATCCCCTTCTCTCTTTTTTTTTTTGAGACACAATCTCACTAATTTGCTAACCTTCCTAGGCTGTGCTCAAATGTGCTATCCTACCTCTGCTTCCTAAAGCGCTGAGATTACAGATTTGCACCACAACGACCAGCCGTGTAATTCAGGCTGGCCTTCAACATGATGGTTATCTTCCTGTCTCAGCCTTCTGACAGCTGGGGTTACAGGTATGCGGCATCATACCTGACTTATGTAATTTTTAATGGCCCTCTTTAACAACCAGCCCATAAAATTCTTGGAGAATATAATTTTCCCATGTCAGTAGGTGCAGCAGGAGACCTTCCCTATGAAAGCACGGATGTAGCCAGCAAAATGCATCCATCTGCCTCCCCACATTGCTTCCTCTGGTCAATTGGCTCCGTACTGCAGGAACCTGAAACTGGTCTGTTAGAAGCAATACTTCTATCTACCTTTGGCAAATGAACATCGCAAACACACATTCAACCTGAGACTACTCATCTAATGGCACGTTGTTTGTATATTAGCATTTATGTGGTTTAATAGCTTCCTATAAAAACATGCTTTACAACACAGGCATGCAGGAACATAGGCGCGCTCATCAGATCTACGACTCAATCTAGCAAAGTTTCCATAATGAGGCATATTATTCTGGTTTTTTTTCTCTTGTGGTACCAGTGACTGAGCTCAGAACCCTTTCCTTCCCAGGTAACCGCTTTTTCTGCTAATCTATCTCCCCAGCGGGTATCTCATTCCGAAAAGTAGATGCCTTCTTTTTCCCCCATCATGTACTGACATAAACAGCAACTTTGATATGCATTATGTTTCATAAAGCAAAAGGTAAAATACCACAACTTAAGTTCTTCACCCCAGCAAGATCAGATCTTATCTGACCAGAAAACACCAAAACGAAATACTATATTTTTTAACATATTCCTTAACTCCTTGTGAACAAATAAAAACAAGTTTGATCGTCAGGGAGAATCAGACAGGAGCAGCCAGGGTGTTGCAAGTCCTGACCACGCAGCACATTAATCACGTGTCATGCGATGCTCCAATCATCATTTTCTATCTGCCCTCCAAAAAGGAGGTACAGGTAAGGATTATCCCACCTGACGATAATGTATTTTTGAAGCCGTTTCCTACTCAGAAGTGAAGATTCCTCTAAAAGAGAGGGTGATTATATAACACATTCTTTCCACCAACTGTTAATTAGCGTTCTTCCACTCTTAACGCATTATTTATTCGTAAACCTTTAAAATGGCTTTATTATCCATTCAGCTGCCAAAAATGGGAAACATTCTCTCCCAGAATGCCTCAAGTCTCGCTAGGAGCGCAAGGCGCAGCGCTTATTTACATATCTCCGCCCACTTCCTGTCGCCGGCTGCCTACCGTAAAAATCAAAATAGAAGCGATATAATTATTTTACAGTTCATAGAGCTGATAAGCAGATTTTTTTTTCGTCCAGCAGTTTGACCCTAATCGTCCTATGAAATTGTAAGACTTGGCCTTACTATAAAATATATTTATTATAAAACATAAGTAAAACGCTAATCCCAGATTCAAGAGACAATCGCCCCAACATTACCACCCTCTACCAGAAAGTCTCGGGGGAGGGGGAGGGGGAGGGAAGGGTGCGGGAGGGGGTGCGGGTGGGGGTGGAGAGAAATGGGCGCCGACAGAAGCCCATCCTTTCTTCCAGGATGGTAAGCAGCTCCCGGTTCCCTCCCGACTTCGTCCCTACCTTCCCGCCATGAAGATAATTAGAAAGGTTTCTTTTTCAGCCCAAAGACAGCGACGAATAATGCCACTTCAGTGATAGCTGGGAGGGCACTGTGGAAAGTAGGTGATGGGTTTAGAGTCTCTTCCAATATAAGTACCCCAATTTCCAAACCAGAGACCCCCACTTCCAAAGTACAGGGGAGTGTGATAAGGGTGGATCTGGTATATCACCTATGGAGGGGAGAAAGAGCTGAGTGGGGAAACCTTCAGATTTGGGGTAAACCTTCCCTCTCCATTCCCAGATAAGGAGTGCTACCGCACCTGCAGAAGACAAAAATGTACCAGTACGTGGTACACTCCCAACGCTCGAATATGAAGAAGGATAGGGCCACAGAAGCGCTACAGTGAGCCCCAATGGCTTGGAAACACTAGAGTGAAGGAAAGTCTTTGGATCCACAGGTAATAATGGGCCTGAAAAGACCAGTGGTAGAGTTAGGGTCGGAGTGAGCAGCAACCCTGTCATCTGAGTTTTAGGCCCCCCACCCCATAGCCAGGAACCACCCGGGGCCCTTCGGGTGGTGCACAGACTTGCTAACACTTTGCTGGAATCAAGCTCTGGTGCCCTGATCCTCCTGATCCACAATTCCCAATTCAGAAGCCTTTTCTGATGTATGTGCCTCACCCTCTTGGTCTCTTCTGAGATCTCATAGTACTTTATATTTTTACACTCTCACAGCACAGTGTTTATCAGATTGATGACTGCTTGCTCCTCAAGGGAGGAAGCTGTTTGGAAGACATCTAGTGATGTCTCCAGTGACATTTAACAGGGCTTGAAGGTCTGAGGAGTGTATTAAATTCCCCGCACGACCTGAGACCTCCCCCCCGGCCCACCACTAGGAATCTAACCCAGGGCCTTGTGCTTGCCAGGCAGGCACTTCGCCCTGAGCTACAATCCTTGGCCCTCGAGATCGCTCAGCTGATTCTCTCTGCCGGCTAGGCCAGAAACTACTGTGCCAGAAAGTAGTAGTTAGGTGGCTGAAGGGAGTTGTGATGGAAATAGGTGGTGTGGGAAAGGAAGACGGGCAGGAAGGATACAGAAGAGACTCTGGGTGCTGTTGAACATGGAAACTCCTGAGAGGAAACCGACCAGCTCCACTGCAAAGAGGCCCAGGGTGACAGAGAGTGCTGTTACCAGCCTGTAGAGAAAAAAGGGATTGGATCAGGCTCTCTGGGTTTGGAAGACCCCACCATCCCCATCACCTCTTCGCTGAAACCACCCTGCCCCAAGGGCTCACTGAATGTCTTGCTTCTGATACTCCTCGGGGGTGAACCTGAGAGGCAGGCAGGCAAGGATGTTGCTGTCCTGGGGAACGAGGCAGAAAGAAAAAAAGAAGTAAAAGAAGGGCGGGCTGCAGGACTTGAGCTAAAACTTGGGGGAGGGGGCTCACCCTGGGACTACAAAGAAGGAGAGAAGCCAGAGGCTGGAGGGGATCGGTACGCTCTCCTTACCCGGGACCAGAATAAGGTGATAACGACTACCAGATGTGCCAGGAGCGTCAGAAAGCGAGAGGGCACGAGGCCCGAGATCCGACCCATGGCCTTCGGGTACAGGGGCACCTCTTGGAGTAGAAGCTGCAGTCTGGAAGTTTAAGAAGGATTACATTTGAAGTCTGCAAACCCGCAAACCCCCTCCGTCCTCTCGTCCCGCTAGCGTAGGCTCCGCCCAGTTGCCTTGGTAACTGCGTGGGGCGGGGCTCTGAAATCTCGCGAGAATAGTGTTCTCAAACTACTAAGCGCTTCCGGAACAACCGTGGTGTGTTGCGTGGTTTGAGCTACAGCCGAGTTGAGGATGTTCTGGGGCTATTTCTGTGTTCGCAGGGCTGTCAGCGATTAAGAATGTGCACTTGGCAAGTCCCGCACCGCCTAAACTGTCCTGGGGGTGGAGGTTGGTGTTGGCGAGCAGAAGACCACCCAGCCCCAGGCTGGGAACACGGCGGCTGCCTGGAGCCGCGCGACTCGGGTGTGGTCCAGGATGACCCTTCGCACTCAGTCACCCGAGACAGTTGTTGCCCCCACGCCGGCTTAGGTCGCCGCCGGGTCCAGGGCTTGGACTCTCCCGGTCCTTCTCATCCTTTTAGCTTCTCACTGCCTTGGCGTGAGGAGATAAGGGCACCGAAGGTGGAGAGGCGAGTGATGTCCCTCGGTTATCTGAAGCCACAGATTTTTCCGGAGCCTTACTTATTGAGAGATTCCAGACCTGAACCTTGGGGGGGGGAGGGGAAAGAGGGAGAGAGAGAAGAGGGGAGAGGGGAGAGAGAGAGGAAAGAGGGAGAGAGACTCAGAGAGGAGAGGGGAGAGGAGAGAGAGAGGAGAAGGAGAGAGAGGGAGGGAGAGAGAGGAGAGGAGAGAGGAAAGAGGGAGAGAGACTCAGAGAGAGGAGGGGAGGGGGAGGAAAGAGGGAGAGAGAGACTCAGAGAGGAGAGGGGAGAGGAGAGAGAGGAGGAGGAGAGGGGGAGAGAGAGAGAAGAGAGGGGAAAGGAGAGAGGAAAGAGGGAGAGAGACTCAGAGAGAGAGACTCAGACTGCCCCCCAAAAAATTGTCTGTTGAGGGATTTATCAGAGTGCAGAAAACGGCTAGCTCCCTGGAAGTAGGGCGTGGGTGAAATTTAACTTTGGGGAGCGGAATAGATAACCAGGATCGGAAAATGGAGGGGTTGGGAATGAGGGTAAAGAACGGAATAGTCTCTGCGTTCCTAGGAGGCTTACAGCTGGCTGGGGCGCAGACTCTACTCTGATGTCGTTATTGCTTTGGGGTCCCAGGCCCGGACATCACCTTTTACTACGGGCGACTGTCTGACCTGTGGGCTTCTCTACAGATCAGAAAATTCTCGCCTCATTCACTGCAGTCAAATTCATCCTTAGAGGACCTGCGACCCTTTCCCGAAAAAAGCAGTCTCCTTACCACTCCTCAGTCTGTACCGTTAAACCCGTCTAAATGACAAGCCCAAGTTTCATTCATTAAAAATTTATAATGAAATAGTATCCAAACCATTTTGTTAGCTGTGATGTAAAGAAGGTTCTTGTCTTGACTATTGGACCTGTTCAAAGTTCTAAAATTTTTTCAAACCTCCCTCATCTAAGGAGCAACAAGCAAAATCACAAGTACAGTGGATACAACTGTCTTTCTCTTTTGAAGTGAACTTCATTGCCATTAGACCCCAAATAAGCAAGAGATGGTCTGACGTGGTGGCACATACCTGTAATTCCAGGGTTCAGGAGTTAGGTAGGACGATTGCCCTGAGTTTGAGACGAGCCTGGGCTACATAGCAAGATCCTGTTTCAAAAAAATAAAAACAAATGATGGAGGGGTGACACCTATGTTACAGTGAGAGATAAGCATCCTGTACATGCCTAACAGAATAGCGTAGCAATCCTGTGGCACTCTCAAGGCATAGATAAAAAACAAGGAATGGAGAATTCATGTTTTTCTTCCCTTTGCCAATAATTTACATGCATTTTCTTCTGGAAATAGGAAACCCAGGCTGAGCTCCTACTGTGATAGTTTGTCAAGTCTGGTTTTTCCCAGATGAAGGAAGCTGTGACATAGGGCAACACTGAGGAAAATCCAGGACGTACTTCTAGAGATTTTCCCAAATTTTTAGCCAAATTCTCTAAAACAAAGTTTTAAGGATGGATGGCCCAGTTTCAAAGAACCTTTTCCTGAATGGAAGGAAGAGAAAGAGCCAGGCAGGTGGAGAACTGGGAAAAGAACAGTCCAGGGTGTGACCATCAGGGCATGGAAATAAGCCCAGTGAATTGGTGATGAGAAAGGAAGGTGGTGCTTCTGACACCTAGTGATGGAAAGGGAGGAGAGGAGCACAGTGAGCCAGAGAGACAAAGAGCCAGTTGCCAACAGGTTTTAGCTTGAAATCCCAGCACTCTGGAGGCTGGGCCAGGAGGACCACAGTAAGTTCAAGACCAGCCTGGGCTACCTAGTGAGCTCAAGGCCAGCCTGAACTACATAGGGAGACCTTGTCTCTAAATAAATAAGTAAATGGGCAAAACAAGTGATGTCAGGTCTTACAGCTGTGGGGTGGGCCATGGTCAAGTGTGTATTCCAGATGATTTGTTGCAACATCCAGAATGGATTTTATGCAGAAAGTGAAAGAGGAAGACAGATTTATCTAGAAGGGACAGTTGGGGGCTTGCATCAAGGAGGACCCTGTGAAGAAAATAGAGCAAAATAGGTAAAATCAAGAGATATTTACAGCATAAAGAAGGTCTACTGGGAGTGGTGGCATGCGCCTGTAATCCCAGCTCTGGGGAGACTGTAAACAGGTGGATCACGCACGATGAGTCAGATCTAGTAGTGAGACCCTGAACACCCAGTAGTCCCTTCCCTAAAATACAAAAAATACAAAAAAAAAAAAAAATCTAGAATGGGGGTTGGGTAGGTGAGAAAAAAAAGTTAAGATGATTGTTAGATTTGGGGTTCCAGAAGCTGGAGGCTTGGGGCATCCTGCCTGTGTTAGGCTTCTTGCCCAGGGACTAGTAGGTATCAAAAGCAGAGCAGCTGCATTTCATAATATGAAATAATCGCAAGCCTGTCATGTCATTGTTTCCTCACTTCGGATCATAGAAGTCTGCTTTAGAAGCCATCTCTGAGTTTTAATTTAATTACTAATTTATCAATACCAGGGGTCAAACTCATAACCTGTGCTTGCCAGGCAGGCACTTATGCCGCTGAACTATCTCCCTGGCCCAGTCACCTCTGAGTTTTTGAAGCTATAGAAGGTAGTGCTGCTGTCTGGGTGTCCTACCCTCAGTGGCCATTCACTACAGGGCTAGAACCCTGCGTCCTAATATCTGAACTAGAGAAAAAGCCAAAAACTATGTAAAAACACAGGAAATGGTATATGGAACTCCTCTGAACCCTTAGTAGGCTTCACAATAGTTTCTGCTTACACCATTATCACACAGCCTTCTTTCAGTGTAGCCTCTCACAACTCCTGCTGGATTGTTTTGAAGCAAGTCCTAGACGTCATCAAAAACCTAGCATGGGGAAACAGGGGCAAAGCCATACATTTGTACACATGAGATGGGTGGGGCAGTGATCCTGGGGGACATCAGCAGGTTTTTGATTCTAGCGGTTGGTTAGGGAGACTCTCACCCTGACTAACTGTATATGCTGGTGCCCGTGAGCCAGGCAGCTGCACTGAGGATGCCAATGTGTAATAGAGGGGTCACACTTGGAGTGCCTGCCATCCTGGTCTTCTAAATATGTACTTCTTGTCATGACATACCATTTATTGCCATAATGTCTCTCAAGTAAAGCCTTTTTTTTTTTTTTTTAAAAAAAAAGGGGGTAATAAATTGGAAAAATAAAAAGACACAAGAAGAAGAAAAATGTCACAGG